CTACCTCTCCTGGATCCACACCCAAAGTCTCCAGGTATTTTCCAACCCAGACCTGGCAACCCACCAAGACTCAATATTATGGAATATGGTGTCATCATGGCTTAATTGGTTTGGAAAAGGGGAAGTTATGTGCGGGTTGTCCTCAAATGCACATCCTTAGGTCTAAAAAGCCTATTTTACGCTCATTGGGAGTTGGTTTTTATTTTAAGTTTAAAAAAAACCCTTTGTGTTTGTGTCTTTTATAAAGCTGATATCTCCGCTGCCTGGCATTACATTTTATGACGCACATGGCCCGGCCCAACAAGGTCTCGTTTATGTCAGATCCAGCGAGGGCTGCCAAGTAATGGCGGGGAATTGTATGTCTTCGCAGAATCTGTGCCGCAGGGACGGCGAGACGTGTTGCACCCGCCGTTGCCAGGATTTGCCGGAACGTATCGCTCTGGCAACGGGGCTCCAAACAGCCCCATTGCCAGAGCGACGCATAGCGTCATGTCCTGGCGATGGCGGTGCAGCGCGTCTCGCTGTCCCCGTGGCACGGATTCTGCGAAGACATGCGGATCCCCCACCACGATTTGGTGAGATTTGGAAGCCCTAGATCCGGCCCTCATAACAAATGAGTTTGATACCCCTGGCTTAGAGGGAATATCGGCATGTCAGCAGGTGCCAGCAAGCTTTCAGTTTCTGTGGGCTGGGGTAGAAAACGTGAAGTCATGGCCAATACCCAAACCATCCAGCATAGCTACTTCAGTGTTGCAATATGGGAGCCATCTGTTGATTACGTTGCCCGTTTACGAGGCTGGTTGTTCCCAATAACTTGGGGTGATGCCGTGGGAAAGACACAATGAGAAAAGAGCCTGTCATGATCTGGGCTGTGCCACCAGAGGCCTACTAAGCCAAGGGAGCCTGGCTAGCAGTAGGTGAGGCTGGGTCTACAACTCCCAGAAGCCCCTGAGAGGTTTTGGAGCCAAAATTGACCAATAGGGAAGAGGAGGGCTGGGGAACAAAAGGGCTGGTGCCAGAGCAGAAGCTGTTCTTTTTCCCAGAGGGCAGAGACTGCAGGGAGAGACTCTCATCCTGAGGGAAGGGTGAGTAGTGTAAGGCCACTTGAGATAGTGAGCTAGGGACAGGATATATTTAGACGTGTAAGGGCATTTGATTTCTTTTCTTTTCACCCATTTATTGTTCTTTTGCACTTTGTTGTTTGACCTCCTATAAAATAAACCTTTTCCTTGTTGTACTCTGCCTGGTCCTCACACCTTTTATTTGGCCAAAAGGAAGGTCTAAAGGTCTTGGGAGAGTGCTCTGGGCCTTCTCAAGGGAGCCTGGAACCAGAGTGGTGGCAGCGTCAGGTGACACCCCACCTGAGCTGTTGTGTCTTTACTATTGACAAGTAATGTTAAGCTTGAAACTTTAGCCAGGATTCTAATCTGGAACAATCTCATTGGCTAATGAACAACTGTAACCAATCAAATGTAAGAGAACTGTACTGGAGGGAACAAAAGGAATTGGTTGTTATCTATGTAATATGATTGGACCTTAACTATGAAAGTGCGTGGCTACACCAGCCCGTGAGTGTTTAAAAATGAGCTGTGCTCCACTGTAATTTGTTGTGTGTTGTCTTGTGTGATCTTTGGACTTCTCGTTCTCAAATAAAACTGATTCACTTGTTACTTACATCGTTGTTGAGTTGCATCCTTAACAATTGGCGACGAGGATGGGATACAAGAGTGGGTAGGCAGCCCCGCTGAACCGATACAAGAACGGAGAACAGAGACACACACCCGGCCGAGCCAGCTG